CTGATGACAGCCTCTGGTGCTTCTGTCTCTCCCCAGGGCTCGGCGTCACTCCTCAGCCCAGGCAGCAAACTTGTTCGAAAAGCCATAATTGTTTTAAACAAAATGCATTTATTAAGGGGGGAAAAAACAAGAATAACCTCTTTGTTTGAGCGTGGCTATAATCTATAATGCAAGTATTGTTCCCCTACCCTGTGGCATAGGAAGATTATCTTATCTGAGTCCTGCTGTCAGTAGAGCCTTGGGTTTTCGGGCGATCGTATTTCTCTGCAAAGCTATTTCGTTGCCGAGACAGGTGCATCAGTCTTCCCGGCACATGCCTGGACAACAGAGCCATTATCAAGACCCCAAATTCCTTTCCAGGAGTGAGCAGAATGGTAAAAGCAGGTGATTAATGAAGTGCCTGTTTGCTATGAAATTTTACTCACTGATCTGGCATATAAATGAAGAGGCATTTGGGGTTCGGCACAGACCCGGAGGAAGCTACAGATGGCAAAGATGCTGCTCCATCCCCGACGACAAACATGGCAGCACGCTACGGGCGGCATCCCTGTGCTGCCGTCTGCGGGCCGAAGTGGGGCCGGCGCTTGTTTTCGAGAGATACACCCACCTTTTCCACACAAAGAAAAGAAAAACGGCTCCAAACTTCGCAGCCCCGTCAGCGCGCGTGCAGCGTGCGGGGCGCTCTGCGGGCAGCCCGGCCCGGCTCCATCCAGCGCCCCGCGCATCTCTGGATGCCACCTGAGAGCCCTCCTGCTTCTCTCCGGGCGAAAACACAAACGCACCCTCAGCTTCTCCCTGACGCATGCACTCGCTGCTGTTTCAGACATGAGAAAGACCTCCCAGCTCTCCCCCGGGGCCGGCGAGGGTCTGTGCTGCAGCGGTACCGACTGGCGCCCGCCGCCCGGAGTGGGGAGGCTCTTCCTGGCGGTTCCCAGCAGAGCCGACAGCAGAGGGAAGCTTTGGGCCCCGCACACTTGGAGAACACAGATCTCAGCTTTAATAGTCAATTCTCATGGACTCACGTTACTTTATTTCTCCCCGGATGTTCCTACCAATACAGAGAGAGGTCCCTGCGCTGAGCTCCCTGCCGGCCGCCGCGGTCAGAAGCGGGAATTCACAGGGACACAGCATCAGTTCGGATTGCGTCTCCCACCACGGTTTCGCCAGGCGCTGCTGGTCTGGGGATTCGCAACATCCCGGCGCTGGAAAGGGCCCTTTGAGCACAAAACGCGCCTTCGGCGTGGCGTTAGGATTTTTTCCCTGCTGTGGTTGTTTTAAGTGGCAGGAGAGCTCAGCTTGGAAAGATTTCGCTCCCTCCAGAGTAAAACATCTGCTGGGTTCATGAGAGCCTTGTGACCTGCTCGGAGTGCAAAGTGTTCTGCCGAGCGGCTGCAAACAGCTCCTGCTCTGCCGGGCAGCGCCGAATCCTGCGCAGCATCCCCAGTAAGCAAAGGCAAACCCTGAGCTCTCTGTACAGCAATTCACACACGGCAGCTCTCTCAAAATGTAAAATACCCCGAGGGATGTCCCTTCCACCCTCCCAAACTCCCCCTGAGGCTCTGATGTGGCATCGCGGCCACTTGGGCAGAGGAAGGAGGAGTCGCCAGCCCGGCTGCGGGGCACAGCCACGCTCGAGCTCTGCGTCCTGCGAGGACGGGGACTCTGCTCGGGGTCCCTGCAAAGCCACCGAGCCCTCGACCCCCGGCCTCCGCCGCCTCTCCAGCACGAACGCATCCTGAAGGGGCAGCTCCCGCTCCTGGAGGAGCCGGCCTGGCTTCACTCAGCGAACACCACGCGCCGGACTCGGGGCTGAGCTCAGAGCAATTAATTCAAGGTGCCCGTAGCACCGGGACAGCCCCCGCAGCATCGCCACCCCTGCGTCCAACGCACCCGACGCAGAGGAGTCCCCACCGAGCAGAGAAGCAGCACGACAGGACTGCGCGGCTCCGGCAACTGCAAGAGATGCATTTTCCCAATTTATTACTATTTTTTTTTAAAGCAACGCAGGTCTGGAGAACACGTGCCAAGGCAGGGGCAGGCGGGAGCCGCGCGGAACAAACAACGGGGTCTGGTTCAACTCAGCTACTGACTCCAGCGACTAAAAAAAGGAGCCCAGACAAAGAGCAGCCACCTTAATGGCATCAAAAAAATCCTCTCCTGTGTTTCTGCTTGTTAGCACAGGGGAGAGACAGGCTAGAGCCGGGATTTCAAAAGAGCTTAAAGGAGTTAGATGGCTGAATCCCATTCAACAGCAACAGGAATCCGGTACTTAATTTCTACGGCCGTCTTTGAAGATCTCAGCGATAATTTGCACCTTCCGAGCACATTTAATCTCAAAGCCATCTACAAAAGGCCGGCGAGCGAGCAGGGAGGGAGCTCAGGAAAGTCCCCTTTCCATGCTCACGAGGGGAAAAAAAAACGGGCATTTCCCAAACCCAGAAACGTCCGCCCTGCCTCTGTGGACGGAGCAGCCCCACATCCCACGCCCCCCTGCCGCCGCCCCTCGGCAGAGCTAAACCCGCTCCTGGGCGATGCCGGGAGCCGGGTCCTGAACACCAGGGCAGGGGCCCAAAGCAGGGCCAGAGAGGGGCTCCCGGAGCGGACCCCAGCCCTCCCGCGAGCAGGAGGCGCGGGGCTGTGCCGGGGCGGCTGGAGACCTCAGCCGGGCTGCGACCAGCCTGGGCAGAGCGGGACGGAGCGGGGAAAATGCCATGGCACACCTGAGACGCTGTTGTATGTCTTTGGCCACATCCACGTCCATTTAGGTGCGTAACGGAGCATCTCTACAGGACACGTCTGACTGCGTACCCCAAGCACTTGGCCCGGTGGTTCCAGGCTGGGGACCCTGCGCCCAACCGGGCGGTGGGAGAAGTCCCGCAGCGACCAGGCTCGCCCGACACCCGCAGCCGCGCGGCACCAGCCACCTCCCTCGGACCATTATACGCCTCCTCTCTCTCTCTCATTCCTTTTCTTTATTTATTTTTCAAACTAACAAACTGCTCTCCAGAGCTACTTTATTACTATTGATTCCAGGAGCAAAATCCAATTGATCTTGGTTAAAATGAACCATCTTTTTAATTCTGGTATATACAGGCGATGGCTGGGCAGGAACCGCTCCGAGCTGAGGGCAGGGCGGGCGCGTGGCACCAGTGTCCAGCAGCCAAAGACCCCGGTAATTAAGCTAGAAGTTATCTGGAGGGGTTCAAGGAGTGGTGCCGTGTAGAAGAGGGACTGCTGTGGGGGAGGAGGGGTCCGGCGGCCGATGCCCACCCACCCCCGGGGACTCACCGTGTTGAAGTTGGGGAAGAGGTTGAGCGGTGACGTCCCGTTGAGCCTGAAGGTCAGAAAGTGCTTGATGTCCAGGGGGGGATGAAGGGGACGGCCGGGGATAGGCAACGACGCTAAGAGGGGGCTGCTGTGTCCGGAGGGACCTGGGCAGGCAGAGGGGAGAGAGCAGCGTTAGCGTTGGTGGCCCCTGCTTGCAGCGGGGGGACACGGCACGTGGGGACACGGCACGTGGGGACACGGCACGCAGGCACTGGACCTCCTTGGCAAAAGCTCCCCGCCCAGGGTGGCCCCGGGTACCCCTCTGCCTTTTGGGCTCAAAACCCAGCATCCCGGTTCAAAGCCATCTTTGTGTCAGAGCGTCGACATGCACAGGAGTTCCCTTTGAGCCCTCCGAAAGGCGTCAAATCATCCCCCGGCAAAACAGCCCCTTCCCCAGGCGCTCTCCCGCGGCCCCGTGGGGGCTCCTCCTTACCGGGGCCGGTGCATTTTTGGCTGCTGGCAGCAGCCAACGCACCCCATGAGTGCCGGGCTGAGCAGCCCTGGCCACGGCACTGCTCCAGCTTTGCAAAGGTCTTGAATTTTGGGTGCCCCCGGCCCCATCCAAGCCGTGTGGGTGCCCCAGCTCTGCCCCTCCACGGGAATTTTGGGTGAAAACCCCCAGGAACAGGCTCCCCCCGCACCGACCTGCAGGCTCCAGCACTGCAGCCCCCGCTGCCGCCCGTCTCTCATCGTCCCCCGCAAACTAACCGCGAGCTCCAGCGCGAGATATAAAAATAGCCTGGAGTTATTAATAATTTTTCCTTTAAACAGAAAACACCCCTGGGAAAGAGGGAAGGCCAAAGAGAGGGGCTCTGTCTCCAGCCCGCTCCCCGTCCAGCCCCAGTGCGACGGTTTCCCGCTGGGACTCATCCATCCCCCCGCCGGGACAGCCCCCTCCGACCCGCGGAGTGCCCGGGCTGGGCGCCTGCACCCCTGCACAGCTCTGAGAGCGAGGAGGGGGAAAAGTTAAAGTAAACAAACAAATGAGTAAAACGCAACAAATAAATAAAGGTTTCAAAACGCTGCGAGCCAGAAAAGCCCATTTGCATCTCCCGCGGCTTCACACCTCCTCCAGCCCTGTCCCGCTACCGGGAACAACAACGAGGCCGATGTTCCCTTTTTTGGTTTTGATTCCTGGGTTCTTTTGCACGCCCCGCTGCCGAGATGAGCCACGGTCCCTCGTGCGGGGACGGAACCGGCCAGTGCCCGGGGGGGGTCGGAAACACCAACCGGGAGCCATAATCCCCAGTGCCGCTTTGGGACCGTGCCGAGGCACTCGCCCCCTCCGGCCCCCCGCGCCCCGACCGCGGCTGGGCAGGACGCGGAGCGCGGCCGGTGCTGCTCTCCCACTGCGCTTTGCCGTTTGCTGCGCAGCCGCCCCTCCGCCGGCAGAAAGCGGGCTGGTGCGGGAGCCGAGATACAGATCTGAAATGCAAAGTTTGAAGGATTTGCTGAATTTGAGCAGCGAGCGCTGGCCCTGCGGGCAACAACGACCTCTTTCTGGGAGAGCGCACACGGGCGGCTCTTCAGCGGCACCGGAGCCGTCCCTGAGTCAGGCCTGACTCCGGGGAAAAATTACGTTTTGCTTCATCAGGCGTGCATTGATCGAGTTAATTCCAGAGTCGCCCAGAAGGGAAATCTGTGAAACTGTTTAAAAATAAATAAATAAAATTATAGCAACAGCGATGAGGATGGGAGCAAAAGCAAGCAGAAACGGGTGAACGATGCATAATTAACCTTCTGAGGCGTGAAACAGTATTTCTGCATCAAATCATCTGAGACGGCAGGGCTGGCGCCCGGGGAGCTGGTCCCCGGGGACCCCCAGCCCGCACACGCAGCCGCGACCCTGCCGAGAGCCGCAGCGACAACAAAGGCATTTGGGGCCAGGCTGCAAGGGTTGCCACTTGCCTTTGTCGGTACGGCTTGCACTGGCCTTAAAAAAATATATATACATTACATTTACCGCTGGGAGGAACAGGAGGCCGGGGGAGCCCCTCCGCCCCCCTCACTGGTACCCGAATAAAGGGGGTTTGCAGCTCAGTGCTGAAACCCATCGGCTGCTGCCTGTCCCCGTGGCCGAGGGGTTTGCTGCCCGGCGGTGCTGGGGGGGACACGGGCTCCCGGGGACGGCCACCGCCCGCAGCGGGCGGGGGCCCCACGCACGCCCCGAGGGGCCGT